CCTTCGCTACCTTGTCGGAACCTGGAACTTTATGTCCCCCGAATGAGATAACTTACATAAACAAACATTTTAGGTTACTGAACTTGGAAGGGGCCATTCGATCCTATCCCCCGTTCAGCAAGGAATCCTAAAGAAGGCATCCATAATCATCGTGCTTGACTGCTAGTCTTGTAAAGAAGATTTGACATTATGGCTCACCTCTGCAGCAAGGAAGAGCCCAACAGCTGCCTGGCTGCACTGTGGAAATGGTTCCACCAGGAAGAAGTATTTTTCTAATGTCAAACAATCTGCCTTCATGTGACCTCAGGGCATTTTTCTGTAACCCGCCCTCTGGAATGGCCACACCTTCACAGATATTTAGAGTGCTACGGGAGCCCATCTTTTATTTCTCAGGATTAAATGTACTTTCTCTCTTGATTCAGGGGGTTCAGGTCAAGAGAACTAACCAATTAGAGCAGTGGTGGCGAACCTATGGTACGGGTGCCAGAGGCGGCACTCACCCGTGCCGTCGCCCCAGTCCTAGGCCTTCAGCTCGGTTTTATAAAACATTTTTGCTTTAGGCCTCCGCCGCCGTGTGCAAAAAGAAAAAAGGTTCAATCAGTCAGTCAATTTCAACTTCTCGCGGGAAAAAAAAAGATCTTGCAAAGTTGGAATTGATTGATTGAACTTTTTAGTCCCACCCAGTCTGCCGGTACCACCACAGCCACGCCCACCCAATGGGCCACGCCCACCCAGCACTCGACGATGCATAAGCGGGTTTTGGGTTGCAGTTTGAGCACTCGGTCTCTAAAAGGTTCGCCATCACTGAATTAGAGGTTTTATTTTTCTACAAATCTTAATTTTATACTCACCTTTCTGCCTGAGAGTCAGAAACAGCTTGAATATGGCTGAGTGTACTTGTTAACTTGGAATTTTCTTCTTTCAGCTATATATATATAAAAAAAGATTCAGACGCTGAAGGATTTGGACATCCTGGAAAAGAACTGTTCAAAAGTGGGCAATTGCATGCATAGGCAACAAGGCAGAAAATCAGTCCGACGTCACAATTAAGGACAACTTGCTAAAAAGGTGAAAGTGTCTTGCCTTTGGCTGGGATACACAAAGGGAGTTCTGCGAGTGTTTCTCACAAAGTGCCTAGAAAACCTTGCGATGCTTCAAAATCTGTGTGATGCTGTGTTTCTATATTCCACGCCACAACCAGAAAGGGGGTGGGGAAAAACACCCCAAATTTCCCAGACCACGAAAAGCACACCCAGGTCACCAGCCTGCCCATTCAGCCACATGAAAGGAATTACAACGAAGGTTTGTTAAGGATAGAATCCCAAGCTTTCTGAAGGGAAGGAGATTTTGAATGCCTCCTGATGTTCAAGAGAGAAACTTGATATGAAACAGAATGAGATAAACCAGGGGTAGTCAACCTTGGCTCTTTTATGACTCGTGGACTTCAACTCCCAGAATTCCTGAGCATGCTGACTCAGGAATTCTGGGAATTGAAATCCACGAGTTATAAAAGAGCCAAGGTTGCCTACCCCTGATCTAAACTCATCAAATCATGATCTAGATCAGGGGTGGGGAACCTTGGCTCTTTTATGACTTGTGGACTTCAACTCCAAGAATTCCTGAGCCAGCATGGCAACCTCTCCCTTTCCCCTCAGCACGACTGGTTCAGGAATTCTGGGAGTTGAAGTCCACGAGTCATGAAAGAGCCAAGGTTGCCTACCCCTGATCTAGATCATGATTTGATGAGTTTAGATCAGGGGTAGGAAACCTTGGCTCTTTTATGACTCGTGGCAAACACGAAGGGGAGAATACGTGCTACCTTAGAAGAAGAAAAGAGGGATACACACCGAGCAAAATTACATTTGCTAGGAATGTAGCCTTGTTGTCTTGGAGAGGTCAGGAGAGAGAAGAGCTTCCAAAGAGAGACACCAACACTCACCTCTTGGTAACGCAGCTGCAACAGTCGGCAGAAGCCATCTTCTGGGGACATCCCACCACTTGGCGAGCTTTGCTCGCCCTTCCCAAGACAGCTGCAGGAGATGTGGTCATTTCCTCCCAGCTGGTCCGGGGAGAAGGTCTGGAGCTCTGAGAGGTTGCAAGAGAAGGAGTTCAAAGTGCTGCTGCTAAGCGAGGCGCTGGGGACTCTGACCAGGTGGGCCTCTTCGACGGCCGAGGGCTGATACGAGCCGCTCCACTCGTCCTCATCCTCTTCCAGCAAGGAGTCCAAAGCAGTTGGGTCTTCAAAAAACGGCTCTCGCAAGTCCTTGTTCGACCCCAGCGACTCGGCCAAGAAGGAGCTCTCATCCAGCAGGAAGCAGGACCTCAGCGATCCCTACAAGCGAAGCAAAAAGTTTGGGATTTTGACCATCTCACGCCTTCCCTACGCTGAGACCAAACAGCCTTCCTGCACCAAACTGGCAGACAGAGATCCCTCTAGCTCAGGGGTAGGCAACCTTGGCTCTTTTATGACTGGTGGACTTCCAGAATTCCTGAGCCAGCCATGCTAGGCCGGGTTATGCAACCTTGGCTCTTTTATGACTCGTGGACTTCAACTCCCAGAATTCCTGAGCCAGCCATGCTGAGGGGAAAGGGAGGTTTCCAAGCTAAGCCAGGCTGGCTCAGGAATTCTGGGAGTTGAAGTCCACGAATCATAAAAGAGCCAAGGTTGCCCACCCCTGATCTAGATCATGATTTGATGAGTTTAGATCAGGGGTAGGCAACCGTGGCTCTTTTATGACTCATGGACTTCAACTCCCAGAATTCCTGAGCCAGCATGGCTCAGCTTGGAAACCTCCCTTTCCCCTCAGCATGGCTATCTGAGGAATTCTGGGAGTTGAAGTCCACCAGTCACAAAAGAGCCGAGGTTGCCTAACCCTGCTCTAGCAGAAGCTGTAGCTTTCCCAAAATCCCCTCAAGGGCCACAACCGCTCATTTATTGACAATAAGGAATTGCGTCGGAGGTCTTCAAAGGAGGTGAAGGAAGCCCGGAGGCCACAGACCAGGGGTGGGCAACGAGCTACCATCTGGAGACTCAAACTGCCAAACTGCCCTCAGTCAGCAGAAGTAGCCTACAGTGCTGCACTCTAACCACTGCACCACCAAAACCATTGAAAGCAATTAAAAGCATAAACACAAAATAGAGTAATCAATAACTGAGACAAACATTTTTCAGATTTCTCAGGATTCCATGGCCTGATGGCAAAGCCACCTCTTCAGGCGAACAGGCATCAAGGAGACTCTGCGGCCCAGCCACATTTCTGCCCCAGCTCAGAAACGAACTTCAGAAATTTCCTCAGATAATAAGCTATCCCAGGGGTAGGCAACCTTGGCTCTTTTATGACTCCCAGCTGGCTCGGGAATTCTGGGAATTGAAGTCCACGAGTCATAAAAGAGCCAAGGTTGCCTACCCCTGAGCTATCTCAACTTCTTGGACTTGGCCCAACTCCTTACAGAGAACAGCTGCTCTGTGAAAAGCACATTCGTCAACAGAGAAAACGGCTATTATTCATATTGTGATGCTGTGGTTGTCAACGCTGCAAATACTGTATATTCTTGCTTTGACAATATGCAGAACTGTCTGGTATTTTTATAGTTAAACCAGGCAACAGGGAAAAAGGGAGGAGAATAAGGATAGCCCGGAAGTAAATCACATCTTCCAAGTTAATTGGAAGATGTGAACCATGACCCCAAAATAAGGGGGGGGGGGAATGCTTAGAATGTATATGTGTAAGGGAAAAGAAGCAGCCAGATCTAAGCATTTCCACCATGCTGTACTGACGTCTCTGTAACCTTAATAAAGGCTTTTAGGAAAAATATGCCTGAAAGTCCTTTTAAGTGTTTCGTTAATCAGACACATGACAGTGGTTTTTAGAGGTCTCCCCTGCCCTTCTACAGCAGCCAGAGGCAGGCAATTCATTGGCCCTGCCCGTGTTCTCCCCTCTAGGAAAGCAGCGGCTCCCAAATCAATTTTGCATTGATTAGTTTTTTAATGGATTGATCAGCATTCAAGACTTCCCTTTCCCCAAATGACTCTAAACCTCCAGCAAAATCCTTCCTGCTTCTTAGCCCAGGTGAATTGCTCCGAGGAAAGCGGCGTCAGGATGGAGGGTGCCCGAAAAGGGGAAAGCCCACCCCTTTTCCTGTCTGCCCCCCCAAAAAAACCCCAACCTCCCTCCACCCTCTCACCTGGGGGCTGCTGGTATTGGTGGCCCCATGCGAGGAAGCCGTGGCCACCTTCTGCTCCTGGCTCCTCACAAACGCCTTGAAGGAGAAGGGGTTGGCCCCCTCCCCGGGGTTGCCGGGCAGCCCACCTGCCAGAGGAGAGAAAACAAATAATAATAATAATAATAATGATAATAATAATAATAATAATAATAATAATAGTAGTAATAGTAATAAAGTTGGAAGGGACCTTGGAGGTCATCGAGTCCAACCCCCTGCCCAGGCAGGAACCCTACACCATTTCAGACAAGCGGCTGTCCAGTCTCTTCTTAAAAACTTCCAGTGTTGGAGCATTCACCACTTCTGGAGGCAGGTAGTTCCACTGGTTAATTGTTCTAACTGTCAGGAAGTTTCTCCTTAGTTCTAGGTTGTTTCTCTCTTTGGTCAGTTTCCACCCGTTGCTTCTTGTCCTGCCTTCAGGCGCTTTGGAGAATAGCTTGACTCCCTCTTCTTTGTGGCAGCCCCTGAGATATTGGAACACGGCTATCATGTCCCCCCTCGTCCTTCTCTTCGTTAAATTAGACATACCCAATTCCAGCAACCGTTCCTTATATGTTTTAGCCTCCAGTCCCCTAATCATCTTTGTTGCTCTTCTCTGCACTCTTTCTAGAGTCTCAACTTCTTTTTTACATTGTGGTGACCAAAATTGGATGCAGTATTCCAAGTGTGGCCTTACCAAGGCCTTGTAAAGTGGTATTAACCCTTCACGTGATCTTGATTCTCTCCCTCTGTTAATGCAGCCCAGCACTGTGTTGGCTTTTTTGGCAGCTGCAGCACACGGCTGGCTCATATTTAAGTGATTGTCCACTAGGACTCCGAGGTCCCTCTCACAGTTACTACTATTGAGCAAGGTACCCCCTATACCATACCTGTGAAAAAGGGCAGATGGGCCTCTACATTTCTCCCCCCCCCCCCCCCCCGCCAAAGCCATTTGGCCCTCCATTAACTGGGTTTGGCAATTTACCAGTCCTTAAAAGTCAAGGCGGTAACGCCTCCCCTTCTGCAGGCAAAAAACAAAAAACTCTGCACGTGCCCAGAGGCACTTTCCTTCGCGGCTCTATCGCAGAGAAACGGGGACTGCACACACAGACACGCACACACGCACACACACACACGCACACACGCACACACACACAGCCATTGAAGGCCACCACCAATCCCAGCGACACCCCAACCTACGGCCTCTGGCTGGGAATCATGGGACCTGGAATCCTGGGGGCGGGGGGACGGGGAAAACGGGTGTTTCAGAGAGACGCCGCCCTTCTTTCTCCAGGCCGCCCTTCCCCAGCCAGCCCACCGGTCCCCCGCCTGGCGAGCGACCCTGCGCTCCAGCGGGCCGGTTTCGGGAGAGAGAAAGAGGCAGCGTCCCCGAAGGAAGTCGCCGCCCAGCCAGCCAGAAAACACTCTGCACGTGCTCAGAGGCAAATGGCCCTGTAGGCCTGTCTTACCGGCCAGGCCTGCCCAGGGAGGCTCCACGCTTTCCCCGAGGACGGCGCCCGGCGGGAGGGAGCTGTGCCCGGCCATGGGCCGCGGGAGACGGCCGAGACTCTCCTCCTCCCTTCCTCCGCCGCCGCCGCCGCCGCCAGAGGAGCGGACTTCCGGAAGCGCGTGGGCGGGGCCTCGGCACCACGCCCCCTCGCGCCCCAGAGCTACGAAACGGGAAGAGTCGCCCGCGGGGAACCTTCCCTTCCTCAGCACTGAATTTAACCAGAAGCAGAATAGAGCTGGGAGGGACCTTGGAGGTCTTCTAGTCCAGCCCCCTGCTCAAGCAGGAGAACCTATGCCGTTTTAGACAAGCGGCTGTCCAGTGTTTTCTTAAAAAACCTTTCTTGCACCTTGTTGGATAGGGCCCAGTCCTCAAGTCTGTCAAGATGCTTCTGGGGTTTGAGCCTGTCTTCTAAGGCAGGGGTAGGCCACCTTGGCTCTTTTAGGACTGGTGGACTTCAACTCCCAGAATTCCTGAGCCAGCAGGGGGGAACTATGGCCTCTTTATGACTCGTGGACTTCAACTCCCAGAATTCCTGAGCCAGCATGGCTCAGCTTGGAAACCTCTCCCTTTCCCCTCAGCATGGCTGGCTCAGGAATTCTGGGAGTTGAAGTCCACGAGTCATAAAAGAGCCAAGGTTGCCTACCTCTGGCCTAGGCCGCTTTATGACTCGTGGACTTCAACTCCCAGAATTCCTGAGCCAGCACGGCTCAGCTTGGAAACTTGTTGTAACCCATGCACACTCACACACACGCACACACAAAAGAAATAAATCTGCCGAATTGAAATTGTTCAAGCTGAAGAGCAACAGAGACAATCAAGGGTCTGGAAGCTAATGAACAATTAAGGGACGTGGGTATGGCTAGCCCAGGGGTAGGCCATCTTGGCTCTTTTATGACTCGTGGACTTCAACTCCCAGAATTCCTGAACCAGCACGGCTCAGCTTGGAAACCTCTCCCTTTCCCCTCAGCATGGCTGGCTCACGAATTCTGGGAGTTGAAGTCCACGAGTCATAAAAGAGCCAAGGTTGCTTACCCCTGTTCTAAAGCGTTGGCTATTCCTCCTACTTCTGTGTCCTCTGCAAATAGGATGAGCTCTCCTCTCCTGTCGTCCAGATCATTTATGAAGAAGTTGCACACCAGGCCCAAGACTGAACCTCCATCTATAGAGTTCCAGACAGCTGAGTGCAGCTGGTCAACCAATTGTGAATCTAACCCTATATGGCAGGCGGTCTTCAAACCTGGCCTTTTTATGACTTGTGGACTTCAACTCCCAGAATTCCTCAGCCAGTGTGCACTCTGGCTGAGGAATTCTGGGAGTTGAAGTCCACAAGTCATAAAAGGGCCAGGTTTGAAGACCTCTGCTATATGGTAATCTCTTACCAAGGAGAAGGTTGTGGTCTGTTTTATCAAATGCCTTGCTAAAGTCCAAATATACCATGTCTATTTTGCTGATTTGCTAATTTAGTTAAGGTGACCAATTGTCCTCCTTTAGGGAGGACAATCCTTCTTTTGTAAGTTCTGTCCTCTCTCGAAAAGTGTCCTCCTACATGTCCTCCTTTTCATTATTTGAAGACTAATCTGTAAATCTCCGTATTCGATCGATGCCGATCTGTTGCGTGTGATGTGATGTATTTGTATTTGATATTTATGACTGGTGGACTTCAACTCCACTATGTTGCTTCCTTAAATACCTGAAGGTTTGTAAAAATGGAAAATTAATAAAACTTGATTTTTTTTTTTTAAAAAAAAGGCCATAAGATTTGTCTGCCATGATCTCTTTTTAGTAAACCCATGCTGGCTTCTAGTGATAAGTTTTGTTTGTTTTTGGATGCTCACACATCCTCTGCTTGATTATCTTTTCTAAGATTTTTCCAGGTATTGATATTAAGCCGATCGGTCTATAAATTCCTGAATCCATTTACCCCCTTTTTGTAGATTGAAAGCACATCAGCTCTTTTCCAGTCCTCTCGTATTTCCCGTGTAAGGTAGAATACATTTAGTGGCTCCAGAATTATATCTGCCAGCGCCTTCAAAATCCTGGGACATAAACCATCTTACCCAGGTGATCTGTACTATTTCTGTGGAGAAATGTGCCAATTCTATGGAGTGACAAGAACATTCTCGAATTCAAGAATCTCCACATTTATCTTCAGATAAATTGCAACCGTAAATAGATCAGAGGTCTTCAAATGCTGGCTGACGAATTCTGGGAGTTGAAGTCCACAAGTCATAAAAGGGCCAGGTTTGAAGACCTCTGGTTTAGATGGACTGAGTTTAATGTTAGGGTAAACAAAAAATGGTATAGGACAAGTTCTCCTACTTGAACAGGGAGCTGAACTAGAAGACCTACAAGGTCCCTTCCAGATTCTATTCTATTCATTCTACTCTACTCTAGTGGCTAGGGAGACCCTACTGAGGGGGGGGAGGAAGGGAGAAAATAGGGTGAATGTTCCAGTGCCACTGCGGTCGTTCATAAGGGTGAACAACTGCTGTGGCTCTGCAACATTCGTAGTTAAGGGACTTTTTCGTAAATACTAGGGGGCGCTTATCGCGTAGCTTCGAACATTCACTAAGGGAACATTCGTAACTTGGGGATTACCTGTATCTCAAAAACCTTTGTTGGCCTTAGAAAGCCTCGTTTCTGTTAAAAAGCTTTAAAGACGAGGGGACCATTGAAACCATCCAATTTACAAGAGTTTCAGTTTGTTTAGTTTAGTTTTATTAAATTTATACCCCGCCCTTCTCCTGGGGATTGTCTTGCATGGGGCTGACATTTGGAAAACCCATTTAGATTGTATCAAACAATGACAGGGAGGAGCTCAGTCACATTTCCAACAATGAAGGCCGAATTAGCCCCAGTGTTAGGTCCTGCCAGTTCCTGCCATCTGGAGGGGCATTTGGGGGGGAGGGTGGACAAATGGACAATATGATTGTGTGTACATGATGGAAATAGGGAGGGGGGAAATAACAGGTGATGAAGACCATAGAAGCCCAGAATTGGTTTGTACCAGAGGCACCTTTTGCTTCAATCCGATGAAGTCGAGGGTCTTTCTTTCCTAAGGGACCCGGTTGGGGCAGGTCAGACGCCTAGATTCTGACACATTACATTGTTCAAATTAGGCAGAGTTAGAAGATCTTTTAAAGGCAACTGATTAAAGTAATCTAACAAAGAGGTTTCCCCTAATGAAAAGAGGAGTCCAGGACACATTCAGTAGAAAAAGTACAAAAGAATAGTTGATTGGATGGAAGAAATGTTACATCAGAAACATAGACAGTAAGATAAACATCCCATAATATTAAGCATAACCATTTGAAAGAGCATTTTATTAAAAGGAGAACATTTGTATGGGAAAAGGCATCAGGAGTCACATAAATCTGTTGTGAAAAGGGACATTTTCAGCCAGCTGAATCTTCTAGCATGTTCAGTTGAAAAAGTCCTTTGTTACTCAGCCTGAGAAAGTCCCTTATTTTGCAGTTAGAAAGTGACAAGCACCTAGGTGCTAAGGCAGAAAGGTACATTACAAAGTTATGATAAAAATATAAAAGTTACAAGAAAGTGCAAATAAGTACAAGAAACGTGCAAGGAATGTATTCCTGCAACACAGACGTCGTCAAATGAGGCAAAAGTTATTGGCTGCATAACTTGAACTGCTAACCAGAGAGCAAAAGTGGCATTAAGGATGAGGTTGGAGGCAAAAAGGAGAGAAAAGGGTGAATTGACTCATTAATAAAAATTTGCAACACTTTAAATGGACTGAGTTTAATCTTCGGGGAAACAAAAAAACGAACAGTGATGTTTTATTTACTTGAAAAGGCAAAGCCATAATCCAGCAGGGCAGTTGGGGAGGATGAGTTGCAATGTTGGCTGAGAACTGTTGCCAGATGGGCTGTTTTTCTACCTGACTGGATTAGTTTTGGAGGTTTCTTGCAGGAAAGCTGGGGCCTTGGTGGGTTCATTGGGGGGGGGAGGCTGTTTTGGCCTATTTTTAAGGGGGTTAAGTTTTAGGGCAGTATATCAAACTAATATGAAGGATATCTGCAAAATACATTGCAGGGGCAGGCAGGGCTGGGTCAACCGTCCGCATCCCCCAGCTTCTCCTTTCTTGCCTCCCCTTTCCGCCTTCTTTCCCAAGGACCCTGTCAAGCGTCCTGCCGTCAAATGTCTAGGAGAGGGGGGAAATGGGCAAGAAACCTGCTGTGGGAATTAGTGGCGGGAGGGAATGATAGCTGAGGAAGAGCAGATCAACATGGAACCAGTTTGTGCCATGCATATTCAAGGGCGTTTACAAGTATCATGACTGAAGGCATACTCAGGCATATTTAGCGTTTTTCCCCATGGGAATCTTTTGATGTCAATGAAGGTGTACACCGTTGGTAAAGCTCTTTCCACATTTCAGGCATTCTTATGGTTTTTGTCCTGTGTGGATCCTTTGATGTGCATAAAGGTGTTTCCTCTTACTGAAACTCTTTCCACACTCAGGGCATTTATGTAGTTTCTCTCCTGTGTGGATCCTTTGATGTATATAAAGGCTGCTTCTCCAAGTGAAGCACTTTCCACATTCCAGACATTTAAATGGTTTCTCTCCTGAGTGGATCCTTTGATGTTTATAAAGGCTGCTTCTCCAAGGGAAGCACTTTCCACATTCCAGGCATTTAAATGGTTTCTCTCCTGTGTGGATCCTTTGATGTATATAAAGGTTTCCCCTCAGACTGAAGCTCTTTCCACATTCCAGGCATTTAAATGGTTTCTCTCCTGAGTGGATCC